CTCCTGGGGGCCCCCCTTTTCACCTCACCCCTAAACAGAACCGCCTGAAGTGACCCCCCCCCCCCATGTTCCTGATGAATCATTAACTTTTGTCATGGTAAAAAGTATGCCCATGGACACACAAGAGAAAGACAATGAACGAGAGAAGCATCCGGGACAGAGCCTCATCTTGCCCTCAAGCCCCTCTCCCAGCCCTTCAGACTGTCAGATGCTGGGCACCTGAGCACCCACCTGGTGTGGTTTTTAGGCCAACCCAAGAACCAACCCTGAGGTCAGCCCTGCAGGGTGTTGCAGTGTTGCATTAGGGCTGCACCAGGGCTGCGAACTTTGGAAGCTTCGTAATCTGCCTCAGCATCCACAGATAGGCTGTGAGCAGGCCCAGGTGGCCAGGTGCACTAGTACGACAAGGCTGGTCTCCACTCAGCATCCCCTTCTAGCCTGTTTCTGTGACCCAGTGACATTCCAATGCACCAGTGAGATCTCCTCATGCCTCCCGCTGTGCACTGTGCCTGGAGCCCCATAGGGCCTCCTGCCATGGTCCTGGCTCCCTCTCAGCTCCCTATCTGCACAGTCAAGCCACTCCTTCGAAACTCTTCTGCCATGGCCATGGCCTGGAGTGCAGTACCCCTTCTCTAGGACCTATGACCAGAGCATACCCTTTAATCCACATGCCTCTCAGAGAGTGATTGCTGTGACCATTTACAGCAACCCCTGGGGACACACAAGGGAGTCTTATTTTCCTGTTCACAACTTTATAACGCACCTGCTATCCACCCTCCCTCCCCCTCCCCACCCTGCAGCTGGACCCAAATCTTACAAAAGATTTCTCCTCTTACCAAGGAACATTCCACCCTCCTTTGAGTGCCACTGGATGCCTGGGCACTCTGGAAAGGAAGCAGGGTGGCCCAGGGTGCTGTGGCATTTCACAGTTGCCCTCTGTGCCACAGTGCCCTCCCCACTGAATCAATTCAACAAACCCGACTATTTCAGGAAATCTGAATTTGTCAAACTACAGGCTTGCCCTGGAAACAAGGTCTGAGAGAGGTGAGGTCCCGCAGTGGCGGCCCTCCACGTCTCCCCGTTCTCTCCTGGGTTGGAGAGCTCACTGGGGGTGGGGTGGGGGGGCA